CCACCATTAAGAATAAAAAAACTTGTTAAATTATCATTATTTTATGGATACCGAATTAAGAAATTAAATCAGATTATTTTGAGGAAACCGATAAATCAGGGTGGCGGTGAGGTGAATAACATTAATGACGTCACAACAGAGATTATTAAGATTGATATGGCAAAATAAATGTTAATTACAAAACATTTTTGTTTGAAAAAAAGTTAGAAAACTTATCAGATTGTCCTTTAAACTTTCAACTTAGATGATAACATGTAATGTATATGTCAGAAAAACATTAAAAGCAGCAATAGTATTCACAAGTATTCACAAATACACACAAACACCACACACTCACACACACACCACACACACACACACACACACACAACACACTCACACACACGGTACCCAAGCATTTTAAACATTAGGTAATAACACCTACATAACTTGTTTTCACTTGTAAAGGCAACTAATTTGGCAATAATGTAAGTAAATAATGATTTGTTTTGATTTAATTTTTAATAGAAAAAAATTGTTAACTATAAAAATACAAAACTATTTTAGAGCTAGTATGCATCTTTAAATGAAAAAAAAAACTATTACTACATGCTCTAATTGGAATCAAAAAAAAAATTTCATCCAATTTCTTAGAAGTAGAAAGTGGTTAGCTAGTTTGCTGGCAGACTAAACTGATAAATAATAAGATAATTCTGTCAGTGGGGAAAAACTGAATGAAAAAATGCAACAAATTTAAATAAATTTGAATAATTATTCAAATAAAAATTATTTATTAAAATTGGATTAATATTATTTGAATAAAATAAAATTAATTTAGTCCTGTAAAAACGTGATTATTATTTATAAAATAAAAATTTATACAAATGTATCATTTTTAACATTTAAAGTTCATTTAAATATCTATCAATACCATTGTATTAATGTACACTCACACACACATACCATGCACACACACACACACACACACACATGCACACACCATGCACACGCACACACACCACACATACACACACACACCACGCATATACGCACATTTATGTGTGTGCATATATGAACTGAACATATGCTAGCAACGTGTACATCATGAGTGAATATCATGTACATCTATGTACATCTATATATATATATATATATATATATATATATATATATATATACATATTTCTATATAAATGCTCTATCATGAAATAATCGAAAATAATTTATTGATTAAAACTGTCCAAAATGCAATTAGTGATTAAAATCATAGCAAGTTCGGCGTTAGTTCTGTTTAATTTTTCGATCTTTCTAATGGTAAAATTTCTTGAGTTTAAGACCAAAATTTTCAATTATTTTAAGCATGATAGAACATTAATATAGGGATATTTATATATATACTTGAGCATTTGGCCACAGACACAAGGTATCAATTCAAACACCGACGATGGTATAGGAATACCGAAAAAAGCTTCTTTGTTCTATCATGATTAAATGTTCTATCATGCTTAAAATGAATAAAAATTTTTGTTTTGAACTCAAGAAACTAGAGAATCATTTACGATCAACCGTTAGAAAAATCGAAAAATTAACCAAGAAGCTAACAAACGCGGAACATGCTGTGATTTTCATCAATATATATATATATATATATATATATATATATATATATATATATATGCGTGTGCGTGTGTGTGTGTGTGTGTGTGTTGAAAATTCACTAACAAATACACATATACAATGACTTCCAAATGACAAATGAATGAATACACGCACATGATTTATAAGCAGTAAGTTTGGATAGGTAATAATAATGGATTATTATAAATCAACATTGCATAGATGTGAATATATATATTTATGTTTGTGTGTTTGTGTGTGTGTGTGCGCGTGTGTGTGTGTATGTGTGTGTGTGTGGGTGGGTTTGCGTGTGTGTGTGCATGGATGTGTGTGAGTGTGTGCATGTATGGATGGATGCGTGAATGGAGGATACATGGATGAGTAGATGGATAGATATGTTTGTGTGCTTTAGGCCTAGATTGATGGATGGACGGATGGATAATAGTGTGTATATATAGTTGCATTAGTGTTTTGTTTAGATGTTGCCATTTAAATGTTAAATATGTATTTGAATATAAAATATTATTTACGTTTATTTATATTACTCCAAAAAAATCACAAAACTTAAAATACAAAACAGCTAATAAGAATGTGAAGAGATTTGAATATTAATAGCAGATGGGAACTTTAGTCTGAAATTCTGAACTTTTTGCTTTGAAATAATTCTCTTAACAACTTGAAAGAAGCTCTTAAAATGGTCTTAATGTGATGATGACAATCAAATACCTTGCTGCTGACCACACATAAAGGTAATTTAAATTTTCAGTTCACTTGTCTTTTTATTTGTGGCATACATTTCTTACCTTGAACATCACAAACATTTTACATTTTAAGTCTCTACATTTTTACCATACGTATACTTAATTCAACGAATTCGTGAACTCAGGAAACTATAGCTTACTAATTTAAAAAGTAATTTTGTAAAAATAGTAATAAATAAATAACTATTAATTAATTAAAGTAACTTTTTCATAAAACTAACCACTGAAATGAAATAATTCAAAACTATATATTTCACAATTTAAAACCAAACAACTCAACATTCAACTGTTAAAAAACCTTTTACAAAATGGAAATGCACAACAATGATAGAATACAGCACACAAAACAACAACACAGAAACATTGATCCCTGATGATTCATGCAAAAGTGCACAAGTTATTACAATCATGTATCAGCATCTGACTGAAATAAAAAAAGGAATGCCAGGTATTTCCTTCAAAAGATCTTCTCAGACTCCCTGAGTAATTATGAAGATATAAATAACTATAGTAAGTATACCATGCTAATATACTAGAGAAACTGCATTGCAAAGCAATATATTGTAAAAACCAGAACATTTATTTAGCAAAGCATGATTTAATCAATTGCAGGCTAAGTATGCTGTATTACACTATACTACCATACTATAATGTACTATACTTAGTAGCAAGGATTGAACATTTGTAGTGTAACTATTTTTTTAAGATTTTGTAAAAAAAAGATTTCTCATAACATTCAATTCAACTGTTATGTTAGATGTTTTATTAACAGTTAACATTGTATGAAAAAATTAAAATACTGATTTAGTCATCAGTGCCATAACCTTATTTATAACAAAATTAAGTATTTTATAAATTTTTATAGGGCAGCTTTTGGTATGAATTCTGACAGATAACAATTTTTAGTTCATCTTCTAATCTGATATTTTGATAAGCAAATTAATTAATTAAACTAATTAAGCAAGGTGACAAAATAAAAAAAACTTACCAATTCAACGAAAATATTCACAATTCAAAACCAAGAAAATAGAATTAACGGTAGTCTGTTAATATAAGAATTATTAATAATTATCATTTATTTAATCTTAATAATTATCCTTTATCTCCTTATCAACAAGAAATAAACTATTTTTGTGTTAATTTTGTTAACTTTGTTAACGGTTATTATTATTATTATTAACAAGTAATATGTCGAAATTACCGCTTTTGTTAGAAGATTTTAATTTTAAAAAATTAAAATTATTTCATAAACAATATCGAAACAATTATACAAGGCAACCAATTTTTCGAGCAAAAATTTGCTTCGTCGTTGTTATTATTTATTATTAATATTATTATTATTACTATTATTAGTTTATTATTTGCCTTATAAACCCTGTCAATTCATTTAAGCAATGGACCAAATGAATGAAACAATGTACGTCACATATAACCATACAATTTATAAAGATATATAATTGAATATATATATTTATATATATTTTTATATATAAACATTGCTAAAATACCTACTAAATATATAACATGCGACTATATTAACTGAACATACAATATAAAAGTTACATAACATTTATAAATGTATATATTAATATAGTTATTTTTGTTATATACATAGTGTATACATATTAATACATATGTCAATAAAAAAACATCAAAGATCAATTCAATATGGTTGTGTTTGTCAGTACTTTTATTATTGTTTTTTTTTAGTTTTTTTTTATTATGATTATTGTTATTTTTATACGCACTAAACAGAACGCTAGCTGCTTTTTACCTCTCACCACAATCCCGTTATCTCTTTTTCTCTCATTTTTCTATACCATTTTCGCCTTTTACTAATCTTCTATATTATTTATATAATTGCAGTTTTATTAAAAACTATGTGCAACTATATTTTGCATATCAAATATTCCATGTATTCAATAGAACAGGTATTTTTTCAGTCAACTTTTTTACAATATGAATATCATATAAATAGAATTTAGATATATAGAATGTACATATATTCTATATATATGATAAATACAATTTTTCTGGTAAGTAAGTTCAACGCTATACAAATTTTTCCTTTGTTTACGAGAAAGTCAACAAACAGAGCGAAGCCATCTTGGTGTTTTTTTAGTTCCTAACTTTTCACTTTGGATAAATAATAATAATAAGTTTTTTATCCGAAAAATAAACTTATCTTTACCTGTTCGTTGCATTATTGTCGATATTTTATTTTCCAAACTATTATTTATTGCGTTTTGTTGTTCGTAGAGTTCACTTTCCTGGTCACCTTTCCTAATTTTTATTCATTGTTGTCAACAAGTTTTCAGACATAATGCCGTCTTATTTATTTCTTTTTTCAAATTTTATCGAATTGAATGAATCATGCTGTTCAACCAAGACTTACAGACATCCTAAAAGTGTATTAAAAAACGTTTGTTGTAGTTGTAGTAGTAGTAGTCAGTGTTGAATATTTTAATTTTTAAATAATTAGCTTTGTTGAAAAAATTGTATTAAACTGAATATTTTAAAAAAGTTTAACAAACATATTGTTGAATAGAATAAAATAACCTCAAACCCACCCACCTCTAAAGAGCTTAAAGAACTCTAAAATTTTTTCTCAATCTCTATTTCACTGTTTCAAATAAATAAAGCATGAAGCTGCTTGAAAATCCCAAATTGGAAGCCATGTCCCATAAGTTACAAATCGACAAACCTGACTGTCGATTTGAAGGCAGGTGAGTATGGAAAAAATGTTATATTAAGTATGAATATTTGTTTTAAGAATATTATTTTGATGGTAATTTAAAAAATGTCATTTCTTTAGTGTCATAAAGAATCATATTTTTCATTATTACTTAATATTGTATCTGCTTAATAATCTTATTTAATAATGTTATACATAAAATATATACATGCATGCATAATTCATTACATTAACAATTGCAGTTAAATTGTCATAAGTAAAAAACACTAATTTTTTATAACAAACCTTGCTCTCATTAATTTTGTTCAGTGAATTGTGTAAAAGTCAACTAACATATTCTCTTTTATGACAGACTAGAGAGTTACAGTTGTAAAATGGTTACAAAGGACAAAAGGTTATTCAAACTGATGAGCAACGAGATGGGTCTCTCCCCTAATGATCTTCAAGCCCTCTCACCCCCTGTTAATATGTTTAGCTCCAGCCCTACTAGGTTTGGTTTGTTTTTTATCTGTTAGAAAGAATGTTTTTTGGTGTAATTTCATAATTCCATAATTTATTTCAAATATTTTAGAAATTGTTGTAAAGATGTGGCCGTATAGTTCGTTAAACAATTAAATTGTAAAACACGTAGGTACACATATATTTCATTTCATACCTGTAGTCATGCAAGTTGAAAATGTCAATTAAATTTACTGATTCAATGAAGAATTTATTTGATCGACCAAAAAAATGAATGTGATGACTTAATGTTTGCAGCAGATTCGGCAGCAAGAGTTTCGACATGGAGCCTGTATTGTGTGATGCCATCTCCCTCAAGACTCTTTTCTATCTGATCTCGACACTCAATGAGTCTTTCCATCCGGATTATGACTTCAGTCAGGCAAAAAGTGACGAGTTCTCCAAGGAATCCTCCCTAGCTGTAAGTTCTCAGTCAATTTCAGTTTATAGTGGTGTTAACGTTTTGTGACTTTTGTCTGTGGTTGAGAGATGACAGCAATGATGGCTACTTTTCTTTGTATACTTAGCAGTCAGACCAAACAAGTATACTAGTGTCATTATTTTTTTTACAATGCTTAATTTTTAAGATATCTGCTGTGGTTACGTCTTTCATGTTAGCTATCACTTTAATTGTATTGTCAATTGTTTGAATGTTTCACTCGTGACAGTAGCTGGTGATAGTTTATATAAGGATGATATGGTCAACAATGGTGATGTGGTCAACTGGTAAGCAGTGATAATGTTTTAGTAATTCCAACTAACCCCAATCCTGCACAGTCTGTGGTGAATTCTGTGGACTGCAGACTGCTAACTGTTCTTGGTGATGATTACAATGAGCTGAGCAAGGAGCTGTGGGCAACGATTGATGAGGAGATATGTCTCAGGGAATGCTCGTACTACAGGTTGGTTGGTTGGTTGTTTGGTTGGCTGTTTGGTTGGTTGGTTGGCTTGTCTGGTTTGTTATCTTGCTAATCTTTATGATTTTAATCGAATAAGAATTGCGATAAGATGAAAAGAATTGAGATATATTGATGTTTTCAGATTGATTTTTAATCTTCTCAGTTACAATCCTGACTTGACCTCTGACCCTTACGAGGACTCACTCTGGTTCTTTAATTATTTCTTCTACAATAAAAAGCTCAAGAGAATTCTCTTCTTCACGTGCATGGCAAAGAGGTAGGTTCTGTTAGATGATGTTAATGATGTTGATGGTGTTAGAATTGAGTGAGATTGAGTGAGTTGGTTGTGGTCATGAGCAAAATTGAGGCTGTTTTTTACGTTTTATAAAGATTCGGATTGAAATAAACTTAATATTTTATTACTTATCATTTTTCATACATGAAATTATTTCTGAACAGCATGTTTGGTGCAGGCCAAGGTGATTCTGGCGTCGACATGTATGGTGGTGATGAGGAAGATTATCAGTTTTCTGTAGACCCTTAGTATGATCATCCCAATCATCAGCAACATCATCACAATCACTTTCTTCGTCACCATAGTCAGCTGCATCACCGTTTTGTTTTCATCGTCGTACATTACTCTCATCATCCAATTACATTTGTTTATAATCAACAGAATTGTTTTATATTTTGTAAGTCATTGAGAATATATTAAATGATAATAATTTGTTGGCTAATAATCTCTTATTAGTATTGCTGTTTTTTCCAGTTTAATCATTGCATTAATGTAAAACATCGAATGCTTTGAAGAATATTGGAATGATAAATGTTGATAATTATCATAATTAATGATAATTTTATCACATTTTGTGTTTGTACTTTTTTTGTTGAATATTCCATAATATACTTAAGGACAGGTTTTTATGAACTGTAAATAGTTTCTTGTTTAAAATATTTTCTCCGAACATTTGATCAACATTGATAACTCTTACCGAATTCTTGATAAACTGTTTGTTTGTTTTGTTTATCATTTTTTTATGTTTGAAAGAATGTATGCAGACTGGCGTTTCGAACTGTTATTTTTCTCCATTTTATTTTATTAATATGTGTAATTTTATAAACTGAAATATAATTAAATACATACTGGAGTGTAGATGTTTTGTTTATCATAACTTCTTGTATATATATATATATATATATATTTTTACAATATTCTATAAATTCTACCGAATGTTTGGCGTTAATATGTTTGTAGTTCGTTTTTTCGATTTTTCTCACTAAAGTTTTTTGGTGAACGTTTAGTTTATTAAAATTCAAAATTAACTTATTTTTCGAATTCATGCTGCAAATAAGGCGAATGAATCATCGTCAGTGCTCCTTGTTGTATATATAGGGAAATATTGACTTTGTCAAGATTAACTTTGACGTTGTAAAAATTAACTTTGGTGTTGTAAAATTGAACTTTGATGCGAATTAGGTGTCAGGTTTCTTAATTGGCTGGTCATCTTCTTTGGTCTCTTTTTCTTCATCGATAGCATCATATTCTTTTTTGTCACTATTTACGATGCTAGTTTTTATTACTTCTTTGTTTTCTTTGTTGGTTAAGCGCCGGGTTGGAAGTGAGGCTGTCATTTTTTGTTGTATATTTATTTTTGGTTTATTGATGTCGATTAGGACTGCTTCTGCAATTTTAAGATGCGTGTAGTTGCTGTTCTGGTATATTACTTTGGTGTTGCTGTCGAGGATTTCACGGCTAATTGTGATTGAGTGTGTTGAGTCCAAATGAGATTTGATAGCACCACTCTGTTTATGCATCGTAAGCCTTCTAGTCAGTGAGGTAGTAGTAATCCCGATATATGAGTCATGTTGACGTGCACAGCCGTCAAAGGGGCAATTAAATTCATATATTACGTGATTACGCTTTAACTCAGAGTTATCTCTAGGACTGCAGTTGTTTTTCAGTATTAGGTGAGACGTCTTTTTATTGTTGTAATAAATTCGGAGTTTAACTTTACTATTTGGGTTGGTTGGTGTGACATTTTTATTGATGATATGCTTAAGAATAGCTTCATCTACCTTGTATGCTGTTGACATGTGATTTCTGTAATACAAGATGATGTCGTTATCTATGAAGGAAGGTTATTGCTGTGTAGTAATTTGTTTTTAACAATCTTCTCAATAGAGTAAGTCTTATATCCATTGTTTACAAGCAGGTTAGTGACCCTCTTTAATTCAGCGTCGCGATTTTCAATATCGGAAGAGTGTGTGAATGCCCGGTTCACAAATGATTTGGTTTTAAACTTGCATTGTTTTTGAATGTTTCATTCTCCAGCTGTCCTAGGTAATCAAAACTTAGATTTACCATTGAAAGTGAAAAGGAACAATGTTTACCTTTCCTCGATGTGTTGGTCACCCGTGGCGAAGAACGATTCAAAACCGCGGTCTATGTCAAAGAAACGAATGCAGGAATTTGTTTTTTGAATGGACAAAGTCTATTACCAACATATATATATATATATATATATATATATATATATATATATATATATATATATATATATATATATTTGGGTAGGCTCAAAAAATTGTGAACACTCACATATTTCATGGGAAACATGAATAAATTTGCTTGTGAATCGAACAGATTAAAATGTTTAGGTAGCAATCTTTCATCCTTAATTAGAACTATTATTCCTAACATAAATTATGAAGGTTTTGTAAAGTTTAAGGTTTTAATATAGGAGAAAAAAGAATATGAACCAGAGAACCGAAAATTAGCTAAAAATCTGGTAAATTGGAAGTTGTGAATTGAGCTTCAGTAATTCATCTTACTTACTATTTTATTGTCGTCTGGTAGCTATAAATACTCTATGGTTGTCTAGGTAACGCGTGGAAAAGAAATATTTGCAAAAGCTAGTTTAATTTTGCTTATTTGTTTTTTAGTTTTTTAATTTTAGGAAATTAATTGATTTTTTGCTATAAGTCATGCCTAAACGTGCTAGAAAAGATCTATCAGATGATTTAAAGCAGTCAATAATAAGAAGTGTTGCGAATGGATTGACTTACCGTCAAATATCACACTATTTTGGTGTTTCTGTTGGATCTGTTGCATCTATTGTTAAGGCAAGATTGTCTTCATTTCTAAGTTGTGATAGTGGTTTCATAGAATTGTTTAATTAAATCTTGATATTTACTAGTCATTTTAGTTCATGTATGTATTCTCTTACAGAAACATACTGAAACAGGATCGGTTTCTTCAAGGAGGAAGAATTGTGGTCGAGTTTGTAAAGTTTCACCCCGCATGCTCCGAAGCATTGAGATTGCTGTACGTCGGATTGCTGTAGCAAAAAGCTACAACAAGAATTGAGGCACAGTGGTTTAGATGTTGGAACAAGTACCATCAGAAGATATCTAAAAAAGATGGGACTTGTTTCAAGGGTTGCACCACCTAAGCCACTTCTTACACTTCGACATAGGAAACTGCGACTAAGCTTTGCAAGGAAGTACATAAGCAAAGACGAAGAATTTTGGCGAAAAGTCCTCTTTACTGATGAAACTCGCATCTCAATTTGTAATGATGCAAATAAAGTTCGCTTTCGCAGAAAAACTGGAGAGAAACTGAACATATTTACTCCAACTGTGAAGCATCCTGCATCAGTTATGCTGTGGGGAGCATTTGCGGCTTCCGGAGTTGGCCGAATCAGGTTTCTTGAAAAGGGAGAGGTATGCAACAGTGCATGGTATATTAAAGTTTTAAACCAGCAGGTGAAATGGTCTACAAGAACCCTCTTTCCAGGAACAGATTTCTGGCTGCAAGATGATGGTGCTCCTTGCCATAGGTCAAAACTAGTGAGAGACTTTGTCATGGCCAATGGATGGAAAACTTTAGATTGGCCTCCTCAATCTCCAGATCTTAATCCCATAGAAAACTTATGGTACCTGCTCAAAAGAAAGGTTTGGACCAAGAACTTCAGCAATGCAACTGAACTAAGGGAAAAAATTATTTCTGTATGGAATTATGGTTTGGAAAATGAACTACTTGAGAAGCTGGTACTTTCAATGCCTTCTCGTCTCCTTGCAGTCATCAAAGCTCGAGGTGGCTCAACCAAATTTTAGAAGAGAACAGAACTTATTTTTAAGCTCTTTTGAAACATAATAAACCTTCTTAACTATTTAGAAAAATTTTATACAATATTAACAAAAAAAGAGTTAGTTATAACATAAATTTGTTCAGTTTAATAAGCGTTCACAATTTTTTGAGCAATACTGTATATATATATATATATATATATATATATATCATACATATATGTATAACGTTATCAACATTAATTTTTTTATTTACAGTTTTTTATATTATTTTATACTTGAAATGATTACAATCATATATCTTGATCAGAATCAACATGTATGATTACAATACATTACTATAGAACACCTTCGATATTCTTATTTTTGATGTGATTCAGTACATTAAACTCTGTTGAGGTGTAAATTGGAAAACAGGATTTGTCAGTGGTGTTTAAATTGCGCATAGTGTAGTTAATCGATCAAACAGCCGAAGTTTAATCCAGACGTATATGGTGTAAGATCGAATTTTTAGTGGTAAAATATTAAAAATTTTAAATTAGCTTTTCTAATTTTGACATTGTGATATTGATAAGGAGATCGAGATTGCGGTGTTATGGACGTGTGTTGAGAAGGGATGAAAGGGTCGGGATTAGGCGAGCATTGGAGTTCGAGGTTGAAGGAGTGATAGGGAGGGGTCGTCCGTGATTGGGATGAAGAGAGCAGGTGGAGAAGGACAGAGTGAAAGTGGGGTTGCGTGATACTGAGGCGAGTGACTGATGTGAATGGCGTCGAGGGGTATTTCGGTTTCATCATAGGTAGCCAAACGACAACCCCGATCTTGGGAAAAATGTCGTCTAAACGTGCGTTGTTGTTGTTTTCAAATTTTCTCTTAGAAAGCATTATTTCGAGCTATTTGTGTGAAAATTGTACATGGTTATTTAGTTAGATGACGGAATGTTTCTGCGAAGTTGCTCAACACGTGCGTGTTTTAACTTATACCATCTTCCGACGTGATTTTTTTTTGGTTTTGCTTAGCATTTCCTGCACAAGCTTTCTAACCATGCTTGAATCTAGTTATGCATTAAAACTAAACTTGCTACGGACTGCGGCTCACGATTGTGTAGAATGGGTTGTTTCCCGGAACGAAACATTTTTTTTCCTTAGTTTTTTTCATCTCAAAAGGAAAAAAGTGTCTAAAACATTTCGTTCAAAATTGATATGTTGGATAGCATTCAGACGTTTTTGAATCAGCATTGCCTTTGATTTTCAAAAGTTTATATTTTCACTATTTTTTATTGATGATTGCCACTAAGGTTTAATGGCACAGCAAATAATAATTAACGACCAAAGAAATTTTTTAAACGAAATAAAATTACACGATTAGAATGACCTGACCAAACATTCTTTTATTCACGAGCTTTATTGTCAGCTACTGTATCATCAGTTGTGGCTTGTTGATACGAATTAAAAATAACTTTGAAGTGTTTGACTCTTGCAGCTCACGCAGATTACTGTAGTAGTCATTATTTTTAGCAAGCAATGCATATTCATAAAAAACTTGAAATGGCAAAATAAACATATCATAACACGAAGGCTGTAAAACTCGATAATTCGTTTTTAGGCTATTTAATGTTTGATATTTTTTGGGAAATTTTTAAGATGTAATGAACATGAACAACTTTGCTTTAAATGTGAAACTAAATAGTAACACTTTAAGTGCTATATGCTGCAAAAAATATGTCGATAAGCCTTGAATTTTAAGGTAATTCCTTCACCACATAATCGCACTATGGGTAGTTTGCAATTTCCCAGTTTGCAACGAGTCAAAATTATTATTTTTTTTTGTTAATTTTAACGGCATTTCAGCTCTCACAATGGCGCTAGGATGTGCCTTGTTGAAATTTAATAATTTATTTCAATACATGTTTTTTTTTGTTTTATTGGTAAATTTTGTTATAAATATTGTTTATATAACTCAAAACCGCTACCACAGTTTGAAAAATTTTTTTGGTCGTTAATGAAATTACAAAACGTCATTTATTAATAATATTTCGAGGCTGATTTATATCTATGTTTCAATTCGCAAAGTTGATGCATTATTCTTCATCTTTCTCTTTTTACAATTTTTTTTTCTCTCTCTCTCTCTCTCTCTCTCTCTCTCTTTCACACACACACACACACACACACACACACACATACATACCAACACACACACACACACACACACACACACACACACACACACACACATGCATGCATATATATCGCGTAATTATATCCTTCTGTGTATTCACGTGTTAATAATAATAATTTTACACAGCTCCTTATACATTTTTGATTATGCAGGAGCCGCGTAAAGTTGAGATGAATGTAGATTAGTAATAACTAGGCTAGGTAACAGGTCAGCATATTATAAGCAAAGTTTACTTATGTTAATGATAAGGTTGTTGTTAAATTAGTTATAAGTTAGATTAGAAATGTTGAATTTGCCGTTTTAAATAGTTTACTAGAGTCTCTTTTCAACTAATTCAAGTCATACTTCAAATAAATGGAGTGTCGTTAAATGAATTTTAGTGGTAACTTGTTTAAACAAGATGGCGGAAATAATATTTTTGTATTTAATATTATTGAGTTTCATTTTAGTACGCTCAATTGAATATTGTATTTCACCAACTTTTCAAAATTGTACAAAATGCCTTATTGCTGAAAGTTCAATTCACTTGTCTGGATGTTTACATGGGACGTGCCAAGATTTTGAATCCCCTATGAACGATGAAACACAACAAAAGTTGTACCAATTTGAAAAAGAATTAACAGAAATTTTTCAGCTGCATAGTAATGTGTTATATTTTACGATGACAAACATGGTGCTAAAAGAACTTCCTTCAGCAATCTGTTCATTGAAAAACATTTTGGAGATACATGTTGAAAATAGCTGTATAAAATCTTTTCCAAACAACTGTATGAATAAACTTAAGTCTTTGAAGAAATTATTGTTCCCCAATAACAAAATTGAATTTCTTCAGAGCGGTTTGTTTGATGGAATGCGCAATCTCGAAAGTATTGAACTCACTTCTAACGAAATAACTCACATCGAAGATGACGTATTTTCAAACGAAACTGATCTTCTGTCATTAACCAACTTAGATTTGAGTTATAACAGTCTGAAAAATGTTGATGCTTGGATATTCATACGTGGAATATCAGTTAACAGTGCTACAATTAATCTTCGCTCAAATAAAATTCATTCGATTACCAATAGGAAGAAATGGTTTTACATTTGTGAAGATTACCGAAAAAAACGTCCAAATTTTCATATAAGTTTGTATAAAAATAAAATTGAACACATCAGCGATATACTGATATTTTTCCCAAGATTTGAAGATGCTGTTTGCTTTTTGGGTCTCAAATCTCCAACTCCGTTAAATTTGGAGTTTGATGGAAATGCATTAAAGTGTGACTGCGTTGATTATAAATTCATTCAAATTGGTAAAGATAATCCTGGTCTCTCTATGTTTGACGGTATTCACTGTCAGAGTCCTCTCCGGCTCATGCATGAAAGAATCATTAGCGTTCCCCTTGACGAATATCAATGTGAGTTGACACCATGTCCGAATGGATGTCTGTGCACTGAGATACCCCTTTATAATAGCATCTACGTGAACTGTTCCTACCAGCAGCTCCAAACATTGCCTACAACTTTACCAGTAAAGACAAATTTAAATCACTTGAACTATCATTATAATTTAACGTTGAACCACAACGCAATCACTTCAATAGAAAATCGTTCCTATTTGAGCAACACTACCGTGTTGGATCTCAGCCACAATAAAATAGATCGACTGGATTTGCAGACATTAATGTCACTCGACCGCATTGAAGAGTTGTACTTGCATTCGAACTCGCTGAGTACTCTGCCAATGAAATTTTTACAAAATTCTTCCACTAACCTGCATGTCATTAGCTTACACGACAACCCCTGGGACTGTTCTTGTGAAAATAAATGGCTGAAGTCTTGGATGATGGGTTTAAAAGACAGAAAGATAGACTTGTTGAACCAAAATAGTGTACTGTGCAAAACACCAGCTAGACTATTTGGTAAGAATATATATTCTGTTGATGATGATGAGTTTTGTAACGATCCACAGAAAACGAAAAGAGATCAAATTTTAATGGGCGTCTTGATTCCCATGTCAATCGTCACATTATTTTCTATATCAATGTATTTCATAATTAGAAGATTTAAAGTGTGGTTGAACACACATCTGAACATACATCCATTGGACAGAGACGAATGTTCAGGCGAGCACATGGAATATGATGCTTTCGTCAGCTGTGCGTATGCTGATAGGGAGAGAGCGATTGAAATGATTAACATGTTGGAGAGCAGAGGTTACAAAATTTGCTACCACGAAAAGGATTTCGTACCAGGCAAGCCCATAGCTCTTAACATTCTTGAAGCCGTTTTGTTCAGTAAGAGAGTTTTATGCTTAATGACGTTAGATTTCATCAACAGTCCCTACTGCCTCTTTGAATTTCAAATATCTCTGCACAGAAACATCGAGATTAAAAAGAAGAGATTGATTGTGTTAATGGATGGTTCGGTAAAAGTAGATCAATGTTCGTTGCCGACTGATTTGTACAATTTTCTGTCATCCCACACGTACATCAAATTGTCAAACAAAAATTGGGTTCACCAGCTCTTCTATAGTTTACCTCTCAACCCTTCAATAAAAAAATGTATCAAATGAAGGAACAACGGAAATTTTTTGGTTCATAACTTTCTGTTCAACTCATTTCGTTTCGGCTGACAATGAAAATATGATTGTATTTAAAAATTTAAATATTCGTATTTGTTAACTAAACGGTTTCCACTTTGGTAGTCTTAAATTTTAGAAAAGTTTTTCATGACAGTGTACCAATTTTTATAAAATAAATTTTGTTAGTTTAAATTGCACGCTTCGACGTCTTTCGCTCAATCTGATATTTTCATTCAACATTTCCATTTTTTCAATTACACTAATAAAGGTTTAATTTATTTTTTCATGTACTTTTGTAATCACAATACCGCTCGAAATTAAAATTTCGTAGTTAAATCATGCTCTTACGGACGCTTTTTGAGTAAAGCTATGAAATTTGACGATCATAAAATAATAAAATTAACCTCCTAGCAATAAAAAACAACTGTATATTCTGTTTACACTGGCGCTAAAAAACTGTAAAATATTTTTTTGTCTTTAAATGAAAAATTAAATGTGTAAATAATATAGAAAAGATTTACTTCGATTGATTTGAAATATTTTAAAAATATCTTTTGATTCATTGTAAGGCAGTTTTTAGGTTTTACTGGTGTGATCTTAAATTGTGAAGCAAAATTTGAAAATATTTTCGGAGTCGTATATATGGAATAATCGGAATATATTTTATGTAGTCAAAGTCGGAAAATTTGAACTACAAAATAGGAATCGAAAAATTTTTCACCCGACTCTAACACCATGAAACAAAAAAAGACAAAACTAATTTTGTACTGAACAATTATTCAATGCACGACAATTGATATGTATTAATTCACAATATATACAGATGCACAACGTTTCGAGAGTATAAGTAGTAGATCAAGTGCGATTGAGTGGTGTTCTGTGTTCGTCTAAGGATATAAAATTTGAAATATAAATGAAAATTCCGAGCTACGAATCGTAATTTTAAATAATTATTTTAAAAATCTTCAGACTGAAAAGTTCATGAATTTTAAAATTATTTCTATTTTATATTTATCGATTTTGAAATTATTTTCAGCGCATTCATATCATCCATGTACGTCGGAATTTTTCAAATCCTGTATACAGTGCGATGTCAATGAAGGTTTAATTTATTTGGATGGCTGTTTCAACCAGACGTGTGCGGTCGTTGAATCGGTCTTGGATGAAAAAACAGATCAATATGTTGAAAACTTCGAAAAGTTGTTAAACGAAACAATTGGATATAAAAAAAACATTACGTCATTAATTGTGAGAAACTCTCCACTGACGAAAATCCCTTCTGCTCTTTGTGAGTTGACAAAAATTACTGAGCTTCATCTGGAAAGTAATTGCATAAAATCTTTACCTGATAACTGTATAAATAAACTCGGCACACTAAATAGGTTATCATTACAAGGTAATCAGATTAATAAACTTCAGAAAGGTTTATTTGATGGCATGCAAAATTTGGCGTCGATACATTTATCTCGCAACAAGATCAGTAACGTTGACGACGACGTCTTTTCAAACGAGACTGATCTAACATCTCTGAGAGTATTAGATGTAAGTGAGAATTATTTGTCAAATGTTGATTCTTGGATCTTCATACGAGGTTTATCGGTTAACCAGGCTTTCATTAATCTCAGGAGAAACCAAATTCATTCAATCACTAACAGAAGGAAATGGGTTTTCACTTGTGAAGAAAACGCAAGAAAGCCTGTAAACTTTCATTTGTGTTTGTTACATAATAAAATAAAATACATCAGCGATTTATTGATATTCTTTCCAACGGTTGAAGACGCCGTTTGCTTGTTGGGTCTCAAATCTCAAAATCCTTTTAATATAGAGTTAGGTGGTAATGCGCTGGTATGTGATTGTGTTGATTACGAATTGGTTAAAATGTGTTACGAAAATCTCAAAATTCCGTTTAGTGGCGTTACATGTCAAAACTCTTCCCGTCACAGGGACCACAGACTCACTCTAATTCCTTTACACGAGTATCAATGTGAGTTGACACCATGTCCGAATGGATGTCTGTGCACTGAGATACCCTTTTATAATAGCATCTACGTGAACTGTTCCTCCCAGCAGCTCCAAACATTGCCTACAACTTTACCAGTAAAGACAAATTTAAATCACTTGAACTATCATTATAATTTAACGTTGAACCACAACGAAATCACTTCAATAGAAAATCGTTCCTATTTGAGCAACACTACCGTGTTGGATCTCAGCCACAATAAAATAGATCGACTGGATTTGCAGACTTTAATGTCACTCGACCGCATTGAAGAGTTGTACTTGCATTCGAACTCGCTGAGTACTCTGCCTATGAAATTTTTACAAAATTCTTCTACTAACCTGCATGTCATTAGCTTACACGACAACCCCTGGGACTGTTCTTGTGAAAATAAATGGCTGAAGTCTTGGATGATGGGTTTAAAAGACAGAAAGGTAGACATATTGAACCAAAATAGTGTACTGTGCAAAACACCAGCTAGACTATTAGGTAAGAATATATATTCTGTTGATGATGATGAGTTTTGTAACGATCCACAGAAAACGAAAAGAGATCAAATTTTAATGGGCGTCTTGATTCTCATGTCATTCGTCACATTATTTTCTATATCAATGTATTTCATAATTAGAAGATTTAAAGTGTGGTTGAACACACATCTGAACATACATCCATTGGACAGAGACGAATGTTCAGGCGAGCACATGGAATATGATGCTTTCGTCAGCTGTGCGTATGCTGATAGGGAGAGAGCGATTGAAATGGTTAACATGTTGGAGAGCAGAGGTTACAAAGTTTGCTACCACGAAAAGGACTTCGTACCAGGCAAGCCCATAGCTCTTAGCATTCTTGAAGCCGTTTTGTTCAGTAAGAGAGTTTTATGCTTAATGACGTTAGATTTCATCAACAGTCCCTACTGCCTCTTTGAATTTCAAATATCTCTGCAAAGAAACATCGAGATTAAGAAGAAAAGATTGATTGTGTTGATGGATGGTTCGGTAAAAGTAGATCAGGGTGCTTTGCCAGAAGACATTTTCAATTTTTTGAAATCACATACCTACATTGAATTATCTTGCAAAAGGTGGATCGATCAACTGCTTTATAGTTTACCAATCAAGCATATTTAGAAATTTGAAAGGCTAATCATTGGGATCTGTCGTTTTAAATAATTGAATGAATACCAAAATGCAATATTTTTATCATTAATCTTTTTGCACAGTCAAATCTCAATCTTTGTTTTCACGAACAATGTTATTATTCCATTGATTTTTTTTCATTAACCTTAAATTTGTTTCATACAGGCCATCATCAATTTAAACTTCTTTTTTTTCATTTTTCTGTTTCACTTCTATTTTGCCCGTGTGTTTTTCTATTTCTATTTGTTTTTATTAAATTTTTTCTTTCAATTTTGAGTCATATATCAGATAATATCTTTTTTGTTCATGCATGATTTATAATTAGACGCTATTTTTAACACATGTTGCTGTTACTTTATGTTTCAGTAAATTTAATATGCAGTTGCAGTTGTAAATTTAATATGTCGTGTTGTTTATCAAACTACAATATCAGCTGAACAATACGAAATAAAAATTTCTGAAAAATTTATTTAAAATTTTCGTTTTGCGAAAAAATGTTAAAAGTCGTCTATTAAATTAATATTTTTCTTAATGAGTTTTATATCGGTGAATTGTTTATAATATATTTTATTGAAATAAATATAAAAATCGTATTTGACTTAGCGAATTGACAATAAAAATCTTGACCGTAAAATTGTAAGGAGAGATACTTTATTTTCCCAGGTATTTATAGCAAGTCGCCTTTGCCTTGCTGGGCCCACACCACTCTATCTAAAAATCAAAGATTATCAGACGCGTATGATTAGATAGGTGCTTGCTCGTGCAAACGAACGTAATGTGTGTGTGCGTCCAGTGGTATGGATAGTACAATTTTTGTGACACGAAAGTTCAATAATAAGGATAGAATAAGTAAGATGTAAGCATCTTGGCGTTTGACAAAGCTGCATTATAAAGAATAAAAATATTTAACGTATCCTCTCTTGTTTGTAATTATTATTTGTAAATTTCCGCGCTCTTAAAATAAAATTACTTGAGTTATTTTTTGAAAATGTTATTTACTACTTCACCAGGTTCAAGCGTATACTATTTGTCATTGGTATATTTTTAATTGATATTTTGGCGGACAATTTATAATAATTTTGAAGAGACCTACTCGTAACTCAAGTGATTTGTTGTAAAATGTTGAATCTTTGAAGACACTTCAATAAACTGCATCAAGATTTTAATTTATTTCTGAAACATAACTCATACACATAATATTTTCTAAATTTATGTCAATCAATTTTCATAAATATAATGTTCAAAAAGTTTATTATATTTTCAATTTGGGTTTTCATGATTTGGAATTTATGTTTGGGACAATCAACAGATCCGTGTTCTTCAGATATTTTCAAAAATTGTGTAGAATGTCAAATGCACGAGTCCTATATTTATTTGTATGGTTGCTTGAATTATACCTGCCAAATTGTTGAAAATCCTATACTCGATGAAACAAAACAGAAAATCAAACAGTTTGAAAATGGTTTGCAGGATATCATCAGCTCCAGACGTAATGTGAAAACGTTGGTAATTAAAAATTCACCACTGACAATTATTCCATCTGCAGTAAGAAATTTAGTCAATATAATTGAACTTCGAATTGAACGCTGTTGTTTAAAGTTAATTCCCGAGGGACTTTTTAGCGGGCTTCAATCATTAAAAAATTTGTCGTTTGAAGGCAACCAGATTAATCATCTTCAAAGCGGTTTGTTCGACGGGCTGAACAATCTGGTGTCAATCAACTTGAGATCGAACGAGATCAACGGAATAGATGACGACGTCTTCTCAAACGAAAATGATCTTCCATCATTAACTACTTTGGATTTAAGTTACAACAACCTGACAAGCGTTGACGCCTGGATTTTTATCAGATTATTTTCGATGAGATTTGTATACATAAACCTTCGTTTTAATAAAATTAATTCTTTTACTAATAGAAAAAAATGGTTTTATGTTTGTGAAAATTTTATTAATAGAACATTTAATTTTCAGTTGAGTCTTTACAGGAACGAGTTGAAACATATCAGCGACTTATTAATTTTTTTTCCAAAGTTTGATGATGCTATTTGTTTTTTCAAGCGGCAATCTCTAGGTCATCGTCAAGGTCATCCAGTAATTGAGTTAGCAGAAAATGCAATAACATGTGATTGCATTGATTACGATTTAATAACATTTGCTACAAAGGACCAAGCTGTTGCGATACTTGATGGCGTTCGCTGTCGGAGTCCACCTCGTCACATGTACTCCAAACTTTTTCAGATTCCTCTCAGCGAGTTTCAGTGCGAGCTGACACCATGCCCAGATGCGTGTCAATGTGCTGAGATACCATTTTATGAGAGCATCTATGTTAATTGTTCTTCAAAACAGCTCAAAACGTTACCTCCACTTTTACCCACAAAAACGAATTTAAATCATTCAAGATATCATTATAATTTAACATTCAGTCGTAACATGATTAGTTCAATGGACGATCGATTTTATTTGAGCAGTACGACTGTGTTGGATCTCAGTTATAATGAACTAAATCAATTCGATCTGTCGACTTTAATGTTCTCAACTACTTTAGAAGAATTATATTTGCATTCAAACAATCTGGTCTCAGTGCCGCCTGAATTTTTGCAGAAATCTTTTCCTAAACTGAAAGTGCTAACCCTTCATGACAATCCTTGGGATTGTTCCTACGAGAATAAATTTTTGAAATCATGGATGATGAGTTTAAAAAATGGGAATGTAAGTTTGTTGCATGAAAACAGCATCCTATGCCGAACTCCGACAAGACTTTCAGGCAAAAGTATTTTCTTCGTGAAGGACGAGGAGTTTGCTAACGACCCGAAAATTAATTATAGAAACAGGGTGATACTGTGTATACTTATTCCTTTATTTGCCATTGAAATATTTGCATTAGCCATATTCCTAATACTTAAAAAATTCAAAGTAAAATTGTACACATATCTGAACATACACCCTTTTGACAGAGACGAATGCACAGACGAGTACATGGAATATGACGCTTTTATCAGCTGTGCCTTTTCCGATAGATGTAGAGCGATTGAACTTGTTTCAACTTTGGAGAACAGAGGCTACAAAGTCTGCTACCCTGAGAGAGATTTCATTCCAGGTGAGCCGACAACAAGTTTCGTATCAAAGAGTAGACGAGTCATTTACTTATTGACGTTGGATTTCGTCAACACACCTCGTTGTTTGTTTGAATTTCAAATATCTCTGCAAAGGAATCTGGAAGTGAAGCACAAGCGAATAATTGTTTTGCTGGACAGTTCATTAAAAGTCGATCAGAAATTATTACCAAATGATATGTTCAATTTTCTGACAACACACCATTGCATTGACTTGCTTAAAAATAACTGGACTAATCAACTGTTTTACAGCTTACCCATCAAACCGTTAAGAAGATTAATCAATGAAAAAGATGCGATTAACAATAACTGCATATTTATTATTAAACAAATTTTTCATTTAAATTTTTACAAACTCTCATTCATGAAATAGCGATAGTTGTGGTTACGAAATCTACTGCAAAATATGCGATTAAACACGTTTGCAGGCATCAAATTTTGTGGCTTTAACGAACAAACCAATGAATGTTATAAAAAAATTTTATTTGAATGATTGGCTAGCAAATTTTCTTTCCATAAATTATTCAGCCTTCAATCAATCAATCAATTAGCTTATAAAGCGCTATTTCCGCGATGTTCAACAGCGCTCCTCAATGAATTTTGAAAACAGATGGGTCTTGAGATCCGCTCTGAACTTCGCAAGTGATGGAGAAATAGTTAGAGAAGTAGGTAGAGAGTTCCAGAGAAAAGGACCAGAAAAAGCAAAAGCAGATTTGGCAAAAGAGTGTTTAACACGAGTTAAGAAAAAGCGAGAAGAAGAAGACGATCGTAAACCGGGGCGTTTAGGTTCAATTAATATATCTGATAAGTACTTAGGAAATAATTTAGATTGAGACTTATACATGAACGTGCAAATTTTAAAAATTATTCTATATTTTATAGGTAGCCAGTGCAAGAGAACAAGATATGGAGATATATGAGAAAAGAAAGGGGCACGAGCAACTAGAGCAGCAGAGTTAAAAGCTTTACTTAAAGGATAGAGTATAGAGTCAGGAAGACCATAGTAGAGCGAGTTACAATAATCAATCCTAGATAAGACTAACGAAGTAACAAGAAGGAGAAGAGTAGGATCATCAAGAAAAGGCAAAAGTTTTTTTATTCTACGTAGATGAAAGTAAGAGCTTCTAGCAACACTATTAATCTGAGAAGAGAGAGACATAGTAGAATCAAAGATAAAACCTAGACTACGAAACTTATGAGAGACATCAAGAGTTTTAGAATCAGGTAAGATAATAGGAGGAATAGTAATTGA